TGGTGTTTGTGAATCTCAATGGCTTCCCGGTATAGCCTGGTATAGTGGCTGTTGTCCAGTATCTCTGTGTTTTCAAATAGGATTTTGTGTCCAGTGTGCTTGAGAGCATGTTCAGCTACTGCAGATTTTCTATAAATACTCACAAAAGGGTCACATCACCCTGGGCACAGAGAGAACTGCTCCTGTCTGTGCTCCTGCACTCTGAAGATGCCGGTCACAGATGCTGGCGAAACGTTAGGAAACAAAACTTCCAGAACACGGCCACACAGCCCGGAAGACCCACACCAGCCACAAATAGTCCTTTCTCCTTTTAACAACTTTAGCCATGTGAGAGTGAACAAGTGGATTTAATCCCAGCTGCTGAGGACCTGAAAGGAAGGCCTGTTGCCTGCCCTGGAAAAGAAGAAGCAGGGTGCTGGAAGAAATTTCCTACTTCCATGGAGGGTAAATCTATTAAGAGTTACTAAGCAAGATAACTAAATGTAAGTCCACCTCTGTTTAATAAATGCTATGAGTAAACCAGGGCAGGGAGGGAAACTACTGTTCATGCTATATACAAAGGCATTTGCTAAGTGATAAAGAATCAGCTGTTCATGAAGAAGACCTTCATGAAATACCTTATTTTGGAAGCCCTAGTTGGGTTGCTGTATCAGCACACTGAAAATGCTGAGCTAGATCAGTGTTTCTCCACCTTGGCAACTTTTTGTGGACTTCAAGTCCCAGAATTCCTCAGCCAGCATGAATTTTGGGAGTTGAAGTCCACACATCAAAGTTGCCAAGGTTGAGAAACACTAAGCTAGATGGTTCAAGAGTCTGAATGATATAAAGCTACTTTTTAACTTTTGTAGCCACCCAGAGTAACTTTTAGCAAGAATGATGGCTGTATAAATCTATACCTTAATTAAGAATTAATTATGTGTATATTAATTATATATTAATTAATTAATAATTATGCATAAATACATTAATTAAAATGTATTAAGGAGGGCACATGTAACATCTCTGCTGCGGGAGCTGCATTGGGTTTTGGCTTGTTTCTGGGTCCAATTCAAGGTGTTGGTTATCACCTTTAAAGCCCTACAGGGCATGGGGCCAAGCTACTTGAGGGACTGTCTCACCTCCATTACATCAACCCATCCCACCCGGTCCGGCAGAGAAGGCATGTTGCAGATCCTGTCAGTGAGAGAATGTTGACTGGCAGGTCCTAGGAGGAGACCCTTCTCTGCCGTTGGCCCTGCCCTATGGAATACTCTCCCCCCAGAGGTGAGGCGGGCCCCGACCCTCCCAATTTTTCCGGGAGAATTGAAGACGGCTCTGCCAACTTGCCTAGGGCGAGGAAAAATACAGTCAACCCTGGGGATGGCTGGCACCTTGACAATGCGCCCTGAGTATATTTACATCTAATTAACATCTGCCTCTTGGATGTATTATAAAGGAAGTGTTTTTTGAACATATTGTAATTATTTAACTAATATTTATCTATTTTAATCAATATTTATTCTATTTTTACTGTAAACCTCCCAGAGTCACCTCACAGTGAGATGGGCGGTGACAAAGTTGAGTATGTATGTATGTATGTATGTATGTATGTAAATAAATAAATAAATAAGAATTTTCAAGTGTTTGGCTGGCCATTGTATGAGATGGGTGCTGGGCAGGATGGCATCCATTGGCCTGATCACCAATGCCTTGCAGAGGTTCCTAGCTTTTAGGACTGTTAGCAGCAGTTCTTGGTCCTCGAGACATCTTGGTCCCCAGGGAAAGGCGATTTTCCCTGGAAACATCTGGCTGGCTGTTTCTGGATGCTGGATATGAAGAACCTATGATTCCCACCAACAAGCAAAATTCTGCTTTTTACAAGCTCTTACCTTTCATTTTGAAATGTGTATCGGAGTTCCTGTTCTTTTTTTACCTTCAACTGAAGATTGGAGATTTCGTCTTAAAAAAAGAGAAATCGAATACCATGTTATCCAAATGGTATTTCACTGCCTCTTATATATACCCTAAAGGTGTAGGGCCACAAAAGGAGAGGGGTCCCATCGTTGCTGAATTACTGTTCCCCGCATTCCACCTATTAGCCGTGCTGGCTCTGGGAGCTGTAGTTCAGCAACATGAGGATCACTACAGATTGCTTCACCCAGCGTAAGCCCAGGCATGCTGGCACTATGGGTCTTTTCCTTCTCACATCTAACCATGGTACAACCCACTGGCTGTATCATTCCTGTGCTATGTCATTCATGTTGCCTTCACCTGCTCCCCAGCCCGTGCCATAAGACAGCTTTTCAAAACTGCTGAGTTTTGAAAGAACGCTAGGGAGTGCTCAGCATGCTAAAGAGCACTAAAGCAAGTGGACATGGGCTTCATGCGCATTTAAAACAGCACATTGGCAATTTCAGCTATTTAGCAGGTATGCAGAGGTTAGGACTTCGGAAAGAGTGATAAACCCATCCTTTCCCGAGAACCTGATAAGCAGGAAAGTATGGATCTAGCCTTCTATCAAAACTCACCACTTTAGGAGTTGTAGAGATAAACAAGTAGACATGTCTTCTCTGCCTTAGTGCCAGCTGTATAGCAGCAGAGTGTACACTGAGCCTTATGTCAGAAGTTGCCGGCTCTTTAGTTCAGCAGGCCTATAGCCGGTCTGCAGCCAAGTAGATCTGCACTCTCTTGCTTTGCTGTGGGCAGTAAAGCAGGAGAAGCGAATTCACCCCCTTGCCAAAACTCACCAGCCTCCCATGGCCATCCCACATCACAGTTGTGACCTGCGGATGGTCTCCCATTGGCTGGTGACGTTCAGAAGGAGGGGGAGCAACAAAGCCAAATCATTATTAATTATAGTAATGCTGTACACTTCTCTGCCAACTCGAGGGTGAGTGGAAAGGAGTTTAACCCAGCAGTGGGGAAAGTCCTGTATTTCCTTCACGCTCTTCTTAACCCTGTCGCAACAAGTAGATTGTGAAAGAGCAGCCCCCACTATGAATAGAAGAGAATATCAGTAGTTCAGGGTTGAACTGTGGAGTCCTTGGGGTTCTCTGAGCTTGGTTGTTTGCTTCCAGGCATTTCATTACCCTTCTAGGTAACATCTCCAGCGCTGAAAATCTTACCTAGATGGGTAATGAAATGTCTGCAAGAAAACAACCAAGCTCAGAGAACCCCAAGAACTCTATAGCCCCCACTATGTCAGTTATAATGCCCACCAAAATTTAAAACTTCCCAGTTGGCAAGAAAGGTTCAAGGATCTCTAACATGACGAAACGGCACAGCCAGGTTACAAATGTATTTAATTTCTAAATAATTCCTATAATAATGCTTAGTGTGAAAAAAAGGGACAGAGATAAGTTTTCTAATAGCAGAAGTCAAGGGCATTCACTCGGATTGGGTGGCAGGTAATTCGGGTTAGGAAATGGTGGAAGTCTTTTTTCACATAACAGTGCAGATTGGCGGGAAAAGTGATCAAGTGATTTGGGCTCTGCTGGGTCCTGCAACTCATTGCCACCATGTCACTAGATAAGTGGCTGTCACTTACCATGGAGGTTTTGTATTTGTTTAGCTTCATTGTCGAGGGACCTGAGTCTTTCTTCCAACGTGTGCTAGTGGGGGAGAGAAAACCAAGACAAAAGGGAATGGTCACATGATTCAGCCAGACAAAAATTGGCATTTTGCCCTTCATTAGCCAAAAAAACATGAATAAATACATATTGTGCGTCAGGTGATAATCAGCTAGATGTCTAGAATAAGGGAATAAACAGACAGGACCACAGAGTTGCATACACTTATTGAGTAGGTCAGATGGTCTTCTGTATGTCTCAAAGGAAAATCTTTTTCATTCATTCATAAACTTGAACCTAAACAGATATTTAGAGACTGTTTTCACACTGTTTAGTCACAAAAGTTGGCAAAGCAGTTTGCTGTCAAATTCAGGTGGGCAAGTCCCGTGAGCGGAACCAAGACCTCTGAAAGTTGTGGGTAGCACACACCCACCTCTACCAACGTTTATGTCTTGGTGGAACTTCAGAAAGAACTGCTCTGATCGGGGCCAAACAACAGCACTTCACAGTGAAATGGAAAAGACTACGATCTGGCGAGTTGTGTGCCTGGTTGTGACTGTGACTGTCCCTTTGAGTGGATTTTGCTCTAACAACCAAACGTGGATGAAGAATACCATCGCTCAGAGCAGCTGGATTTCTTCACGAGTGTACAAGCTGTCCTCAGCAGGGGTTGGACTGCATGACCTCTGAGACTCCTTCCAGCTCTCTGATTCCCTAATTCTAAGGACCTTTGGTTTAGTGGTGTCTGATAATCTGGCCGCTCTCACTGATTCAGCAGACAGTGGCTGAGCACATTGTGGCCTTAGTGTGTTCTGGGGGCCGCATCATCATGTGCCTTAAACCGAGATGTCCCCCTGCAAAATAGGAACCTGTTGCTGTTGTAACACAACAGGGGACGGGATCCTCCACGTTTTACATGGGAGAGCAAATCCAAAGACAGAAAAGGGGGTGGAAAGTCGTTTTGTGAACACCTCTCCCAGCTGGCAGCCCTTTTGTGGTGGTAACCCAACATTTTCCCCAAATTGGAAATGGTTTATTAGCCCCAAATGGTTCAGGACCTGACTTCATGGGTGCTCTTCAAATGGGTACCTTTATCTATTTCCTTGTTCATTATTATTTCCTTGTTAGCTATTAGATGTCTAACCTGACTTTTGTATGACAGCTCAAGGCAGCATACGTAGTGTTTCCTCCTCCTATTTTTCTCTACAACAACCACACTGTGAGGTAGGCTGGACTGGGAGAGAGCAATTGGCACAAAGACCCTGGACGAGCTACCCTGGCTGAAGAGGGAACAGAACTTAGGTCTCCCTGCTCCTACTCCAGCACCTTCCCCACTGCGCCTGATTGGCTCTTGGGCTGCAAGGGAGGGGCTGGCCCAAAGTCAGCCAATGAGCTTCTGTGGGTGAAGAGGAACTAGAACCTGGTTCTCCCTGCTCCTGGACCTGCATTTTCACCACCACCCCATGCCCTGGCTGTCCACACCTATTAAGACTACAACTCCCATTCTGGGCAGGAATCTCCAATCCCAAACCATCTGGATGGTGCCACATTCAGAATGGAAGCTTTAGAGCAGGGATGAGCAAGCCAGAGATGGCTTTTATCATTCCCCCCCTGCAGTGTGACGTTCATCACTAAATTTTGGTAAAAACACTTCTCCACACTGTGCAGAATTCCCCAGTGGAATTCATTACTGCAAACATTACTGTGATGAGGGCCGTTAGCTGGGGTGCCTTTAAAAGGGGAACAGATGAATTCCTGGAGGGTGGATCTATGCAAGGCTATTAGTCTGCTAAACCCAACGGTTACTTCCTGGTTGGGGGCAACATCCAGCTGCAGCGGAGAGAAAAGACGACTCCATCTTTTGCTTGTGAACAGCCCAGAGGCCGCCAGCTGGCCACTATGAGAAAGCCCATGTTGGATGAAGACGGCCCTTGGCCCGTTCCAGCAGGACCATTCATATGGACAAACATCTGCATCTCAGTATTTAGCAGCCCTACGAAGGTAGATGAGAAAAGGGGTCGGCCTAGGGAAGCCTCCTCTGCCTAACAATTCATGGCATACATATTCTATTTTTGTTTTGTTTTTTACCAGCTGGTTCTGGCAGGAATCCAGATGCTCTTGGGACTCTCTGTGGTTCTGGCTAGTGGTCTTCAGCTGTGTTTGCAGACCTCTGATGTCTTTAGTTGCTTTTTCCAAAAGGTGTTCGGTTTCTGCGAGGGTGCGGTTGGAAATGGCCAGTTGCTTCTGCAGCCCCTGATTGTCCTGTTCTGCCTTCTCCAAAAGCTGCCTAGTCTTTTCAAGGTTCTGCTTGGTGGCATTTTCCATCTTCTCCTTGGCCTTTTCCATGGCCAATTGTGCCTCCGTGGATGTAGCCTCAGCCTGCAAGTGGGAGATTTGCCACAACGGGTCTGTTTGGCTTTCCATGTGCAAGGCTTTACAAGGCGTCAGTCAAGAACACTACATTCATGCAAGACATCAGAGGAAAATAGCTGGAATTCAGGCATTCATTCATGAAAGCAGGTTATGAATGCAGCAGGGGGTTGGAATGGATGATCTCTGAGGATTCCTCCAATTCTATCATTGTTTGAAAACTTTAAAAAAAATGTTGGGGAGGGGTCTCCATGGAATTACCCAATGGAGCCCTTTTGTCCAGTAAAATTGCTAGCTGTGATGTAAATAGAACTTTGCTGGACAAATATTCATCCCTGTGCAGGGCCTGGGGGCTCTTTCGGCCATCTGCTTGGATGACCTCAGGAATTCTGTAACACAGCTGCTTGACCCTTGCCTGTCATATAACTTTCCCACCCTAAATGTATCACCTAAATGTGTCAGCCGCAGGTAATACACTTTGGAGATACAAAAATTACCGCACAACTGGGAAGATGGGAGACACATTTCTCAAAAATAGAAAGGCAGCAATGTGCTTGAGTAAGTGAGTATGTGGGGCCGGATCACTGAAAGGGAGAGAGAAGGAAAAATGGAGAGCAAGAAGAAAGAGTGTGTGTAAGATAAATAAGTGCGTGTGTGCACTTATACACACACGCACAGATATTTTATTTATATCGACGTTGATATTGATATCGATATCGATATATATGTTGTACCAAAAGTCAGGCCCCATTGACAACTTATTATATAAATTACATTCAATGTTAAAATTGGGTCCCATTGTCGTATTTACTCATTTTAAGGCACATTCTTTGAACATTGCTAAAAAGAGTAACATTTTCTCAGGAAAAAAAATTTAATTAATAAAACATATCGTGATTGTCCTATGAGGCCTGACTTTTGGTATATCCTGTATATACATGTGTATGTATATCTGATACATACACACACAGACCCACATGCGTATGTGTGTGCATATATATAAACACATGTACATGGACATATGTTGTGGGAAAACATACATGTGTAAAATGTGTGTGTAGCGGTGATGGTGCTGGACTAGGAGTAGGGAGGCCCATTCTAGTCCTCTCATTGGCATGGAAACCAGCTGGGTGACTCCGGATCAGACCCTCCCCCTCAGCCCCAGGACCAGGGTGGTCCAGTGGTGAAGTGCTGGACCAGGAGCAGGGAGCCCAGGTTCTAGTTCCTGCTCACCCATGGGAATTCACTGGGTGATTTGAACCAATCTATCTACCAACTATGAACCAACATAGTAGATTGCATCCATAATCTTCAATTAAGAGGCCTTTATCCTCTAGTGGATTGGTTCAGGCCAATAGCAACAATATTTTATTTAATTGGATTATTCTTGTTTGTTCTTTGTACTGTGATTCCAAGAAGGAGGAGGAGGAGAAGGAGAAGAAGAGGAGGAGGGAGGGGGGGAGGAAGAGGAGGAGGAGGAGGTGGAGGAGGGCAATAGAAAGCAAATATAACACCAATAGTTATAGGTGCCTTAGGTGCAATCCCAAAACATCTGGAGCACCACTTGAAGACCCTCGGCATTGACAACATCACCATCCATCAATT